ACAGAAATCCTTAGCTACACAGCTTCCAGACAGTTATCTCAAATGCTCTTTGCAATTGTCTTCTTTCACGGTTCTGAATATTTGCTAGCAGCTGTCATTCATGGGAGATCAAATATAACTCTGAAGTCACTTTTGGTTAGCAGACACTATGTTCTGGCGATGATCTTTTCGGTGCTTGAATACATCATTGAGATTATTTTAGTACCGGAGATGAAGGAACACTGGGTGCTCAGTAATTTGGGTCTGGCACTGGTTGTGATTGGGGAAATTGTAAGGAAGATGGGAATTTTGACAGCTTGGAAAGCCTTTACACATCTTATAAAGATATACCACGACAATGATCACAAGCTGATTACCCATGGCATATATGGATATATTCGTCATCCAGGGTACTGTGGGTTCCTCGTTTGGTCTGTTGGCACTCAAATAATGCTTTGCAATCCCATATCAACTATTGCATTTGCAGCTGTTGTCTGGCGATTTTTTTCTAAGCGAATACCTTACGAAGAATTCTTTTTGAGACAGTTTTTTGGAAGAGAGTATGAGCAATATGCCCGAAGAGTGAGATCAGGGGTGCCATTTGTGAAATGAAGAATGGTCAATTCAGTGAGCTGAGCGATATTCTGTCACCATGTATTCCAAGTAATGAAGGAAGTTTGAACCATTTTTCTCTCGAACAGTTTTGATCCATGTTTCACAATGGTGGAGGTGTAAAGTGCTTGCTTTCAGCTTTTGTGGCTATGGCAACATCTCCTTTCGCTATATGCAGCTGTGCTTGTGTGGAGCATCTGAAAACGAAAGTCAGGATTGGGGTTAGATAGTGTTCCATATTAGGTTTTTCGTGGTCTGGACTAGATTTTTGCATGTTATTCATGGGACTTTTTGCTAGCCTACTGATTTTATCGCTGGCAATGATTATGACATTCTCTGGTCAGCATGTTCTGATGTGTAAAATTTAGCTTAGTTACCACTTAACAAGGATTCTGTTTTTTAGGTATCTGCAGTCTTGTAAGGTCACTGCAAGGCTAAAAGCTAGAAAAATAAATTGTCACTAATGAGCAGCAGTACTACCATTAGATTGTATATCATGTATCGTCTACTGCATCTCTACTAGGATTTTTTGCCCAGCAAAATCTCTTCCTGCAGTCACAATCTCTAACTACTGTTAAACTAATCAATCAATGAATAGGATTGGGCATGCCAATATCCGGAGAGGATTAAATTTGTTCAGAATACATTGATATGATTAAAATGAAAAATATAAACGGAATGGTTTGTTCTAGAAAGTAATAATCAATTAAATATCCTAGAAAGCAAGCTGGTAGCATCGCCAAGGACGACCCAAAAAACTAGGCTAACGAAACAATTCATCGCAAAAATAGTTAATGATCAAAACTTTCAAACTACGAATCAGAACATAACAAGCAGACTGGAAAGCTTGAAAATTATGACGATGATGGAAATTGATGAGTCTGTTAACAAGCTATGCCTGTGAAATCATGAACTAACTGGTTGATAATTCAACAATTACATATCGTAGCTAAGTCTATATATATAAAACACATCTTCTGTACTATGCACTAACAAGAAGTATCTATCTACATAAAAAATTCACAGCTTCAACTAGATCTAGATTAGCAGATACCTACCATACAACAATTTTGCCTGGTTAACAACGTAATTTATATGATACAATAGAATTCCAGCTTACTGCTGTGAATTCAATCTTCCCAAGTGGAAAAGGAAACAATTCCAGATTTCCAGCTTTATTAATGGTTGCATATCTCACGAAGAATAGCAAAGCCAGCATGTCCCAGATGCTAATGACAAGAGGATGAGACCAACACTAATTATGCCAAGTTTACTACAAGGCTGACAATTCAACTTCCTGAGAGCAGGGACGATATGCCACAAACGTGCTGTCAATTGAGAAGGAACCAGTATTAAAACAAGTGATTCCTGTGTACTTGAATGCTTTCTGCTGACTTCTGTCACCCAAAACTATCTGGATCAAGATATCACAACAAAACATAATCAGCATAAGAACATTCTTTTGTGGCTTTGAGACAAAACATAAGTAAACCAGTCGTTTTGAAAATGTCATATTACGGTTACCATTTTCAAGGTCTAGAGATGTGACAGATGCCAAATAGAATAGACAGTGATGTAAAAAAAATTCAATACTTCCAGTTTTGGGGGGGGGGNATCGATAACAAAGTGCAAAAAAAGAAAGCTATTTCTAAATAAATGTATGTCTATTAAGCTTGTGCAAGTCATCTTCTTGTTCCGGAATTAGGGTTTTCAACAGTTATTTGGCTCCAAATCTTCCCCATTCGCCAAGGTCAATCATTGTTCTACCAAGTTGCGATTTGAACAATTCCGACAAGGTACGAATCTGGAAGTTTTGATTTTTAAACCAGATACCTGTTGAAATTCCCTTCTGTCTTCTTTTGTTGTTTAGATTCTTAGATTGGTACCTTTTTCTTTCTTTCTTTCTTTTTTGTTTTGATTATGTATTTTAATCAACTATAATTCTGGGAACTGGAAAGGGTATAGGGTATTCGTTATACAGTGACTATAAGAAATAGATTTTTTTTTATTCATTCGCCTATTGTGGAAGTGCAATTATCGTGTTGATAATTGGCGTGTGCGTTTTTGGTTAATTCATGTGATGTATTGTCATGTTATACTGTAAATTTGTGGGCAATTTCATTTTTTAAGGTTGTTCTAGATAACCCTCGTCAATTTCTAGGAAAGGATGTTTTATTTACCGAAAGAACGAGGTAAAAGTAGAAATTAACGCTACTGAAATTTGGAAGGTAATTTATTTAGCTTGTCATGAATATTTGACGAAGTTCTAAGTTGATTGGGATCTTTATAGAGAGGCCTTTTCTTTTATTGGTGGTTGTGATTGAATATTATGACATGACACATGTTGAAAAATAGATTATTTTTTTATAGAATCGTGTATTGTTGTTTGATCTGTTCATGCAACCCTTCCTTGTGGATTAAGGTTTGGTTGCCTCTGTTATAATTTATCTGGCTCGTGAATCCGCTGATAATTGTGGTAATGCCCTCCAAGCACCATGACAGGATTCTGAAACTGGAACCTGTATCTTTGTTTTCGCATAAACTACTCCAGAAACACTTATAGGAGAAGACAAATTGAAGTTAAAAACTAAAATGAGTACTTGCATTGTAAACATTCTATGGCACTAGCTTCTTCAGAAGTTGATTTTTAACATACGCATTTTTTTTTCATTCAAGTGATTTTGCATCAATTTATCTTAATAAATCCTGTCTTAGTCCCTGACTATTGTTTTGATCCATCCTTATCTAATTTTTTACAGATGTCCTACTTGAAGCATTTTCTTGGTGATGGAATTGAATTTCCAATACTGATTTTACATTACAAATTGCATTTTTCAGGTCTGACTTGTACCTCATCAGCCAAGTCTTTTTGTGGCAAATCAAAATACATTTAAACTAACCAGACTGCAAACAAGCTATACTGATTGACTCTGTTTGAACAAAATGACAGAAATCCTTAGCTACACAGCTTCCAGACAGTTATCTCAAATGCTCTTTGCAATTGTCTTCTTTCACGGTTCTGAATATTTGCTAGCAGCTGTCATTCATGGGAGATCAAATATAACTCTGAAGTCACTTTTGGTTAGCAGACACTATGTTCTGGCGATGATCTTTTCGGTGCTTGAATACATCATTGAGATTATTTTAGTACCGGAGATGAAGGAACACTGGGTGCTCAGTAATTTGGGTCTGGCACTGGTTGTGATTGGGGAAATTGTAAGGAAGATGGGAATTTTGACAGCTTGGAAAGCCTTTACACATCTTATAAAGATATACCACGACAATGATCACAAGCTGATTACCCATGGCATATATGGATATATTCGTCATCCAGGGTACTGTGGGTTCCTCGTTTGGTCTGTTGGCACTCAAATAATGCTTTGCAATCCCATATCAACTATTGCATTTGCAGCTGTTGTCTGGCGATTTTTTTCTAAGCGAATACCTTACGAAGAATTCTTTTTGAGACAGTTTTTTGGAAGAGAGTATGAGCAATATGCCCGAAGAGTGAGATCAGGGGTGCCATTTGTGAAATGAAGAATGGTCAATTCAGTGAGCTGAGCGATATTCTGTCACCATGTATTCCAAGTAATGAAGGAAGTTTGAACCATTTTTCTCTCGAACAGTTTTGATCCATGTTTCACAATGGTGGAGGTGTAAAGTGCTTGCTTTCAGCTTTTGTGGCTATGGCAACATCTCCTTTCGCTATATGCAGCTGTGCTTGTGTGGAGCATCTGAAAACGAAAGTCAGGATTGGGGTTAGATAGTGTTCCATATTAGGTTTTTCGTGGTCTGGACTAGATTTTTGCATGTTATTCATGGGACTTTTTGCTAGCCTACTGATTTTATCGCTGGCAATGATTATGACATTCTCTGGTCAGCATGTTCTGATGTGTAAAATTTAGCTTAGTTACCACTTAACAAGGATTCTGTTTTTTAGGTATCTGCAGTCTTGTAAGGTCACTGCAAGGCTAAAAGCTAGAAAAATAAATTGTCACTAATGAGCAGCAGTACTACCATTAGATTGTATATCATGTATCGTCTACTGCATCTCTACTAGGATTTTTTGCCCAGCAAAATCTCTTCCTGCAGTCACAATCTCTAACTACTGTTAAACTAATCAATCAATGAATAGGATTGGGCATGCCAATATCCGGAGAGGATTAAATTTGTTCAGAATACATTGATATGATTAAAATGAAAAATATAAACGGAATGGTTTGTTCTAGAAAGTAATAATCAATTAAATATCCTAGAAAGCAAGCTGGTAGCATCGCCAAGGACGACCCAAAAAACTAGGCTAACGAAACAATTCATCGCAAAAATAGTTAATGATCAAAACTTTCAAACTACGAATCAGAACATAACAAGCAGACTGGAAAGCTTGAAAATTATGACGATGATGGAAATTGATGAGTCTGTTAACAAGCTATGCCTGTGAAATCATGAACTAACTGGTTGATAATTCAACAATTACATATCGTAGCTAAGTCTATATATATAAAACACATCTTCTGTACTATGCACTAACAAGAAGTATCTATCTACATAAAAAATTCACAGCTTCAACTAGATCTAGATTAGCAGATACCTACCATACAACAATTTTGCCTGGTTAACAACGTAATTTATATGATACAATAGAATTCCAGCTTACTGCTGTGAATTCAATCTTCCCAAGTGGAAAAGGAAACAATTCCAGATTTCCAGCTTTATTAATGGTTGCATATCTCACGAAGAATAGCAAAGCCAGCATGTCCCAGATGCTAATGACAAGAGGATGAGACCAACACTAATTATGCCAAGTTTACTACAAGGCTGACAATTCAACTTCCTGAGAGCAGGGACGATATGCCACAAACGTGCTGTCAATTGAGAAGGAACCAGTATTAAAACAAGTGATTCCTGTGTACTTGAATGCTTTCTGCTGACTTCTGTCACCCAAAACTATCTGGATCAAGATATCACAACAAAACATAATCAGCATAAGAACATTCTTTTGTGGCTTTGAGACAAAACATAAGTAAACCAGTCGTTTTGAAAATGTCATATTACGGTTACCATTTTCAAGGTCTAGAGATGTGACAGATGCCAAATAGAATAGACAGTGATGTAAAAAAAATTCAATACTTCCAGTTTTGGGGGGGGGGGCGTTGAATTTGGTTTTCCTCTCTCAAAACAATTAAGAGTTTACTATTGTTAAAAAATGCAGTGGCTCAAAGATACACAGAATTTACCCACTGTATTCTAACAAATACCCCACGACGATGAAAAAAAAAATGAAAATGAGTTTAGAAATTCAGTATTGCATGCAATTTTAATCTGCGACCTTTCAATTTCGACACTACCCAAAATGGAATATGCAGTCAGTTTGCAAAGTAGACTTCTATTTCCAGACATTATTTAAATATCTTTGCCACAACAAAAATTCAAATATGAGCAGTACCGTGTGAGGAGTTGGATAAAGATAAAGACAATGGTCATAATTCCAAATGATAGGTTGAACAGTAAGGGGCAGTGGACAGAGATGACTTTGATGGGTTATGGTAGCAACAAGCTGCAATTTAAACCAAAATTCCGTAAGTTAGATTTTAGAAACTAATACTGTAAAAAATTCCAGAAACTAAAACCTATTAGAAAATAAAGTAGAAAACACCGGAGGGAAAAACTACATGTTGAAAATGATCATCAGTTTCTTCCGTAGAAGGAGACATCAAACATGAGCGACGCATTCTATGCAGCATATCCTGGCGGAAAAATACAATTTCTTGGGTATAAAATTTGACCCTGTAACCAAACAGATGCACGTTGTATAAACAATCAGCTTGCCAAGGAAATTTTGGAGCCCAAAATTCACAATTAATGAGTGTCTCACGAAATAATATTTAAACGTAACATTAACCTGCAAGGGTTGCTTGAAAATATTGCATTGGGTATGTGCTTTTGGAGTTCTTCAGTTAAATATTTTGGTAGAGCACATCTAGGAAGAACAGTAGAAGGACCTGGAAGAAGTTGCTAAAAGTGATGAATAGCGCATAAAGAAAATAGCGAGCGAGAGCAATAACAATCAACAACGTCAATACCTGCATCATCGGGACCTGGGATAAACAGGAATTGACTCTGCTCTTTCAGCCGTGTATGGGCAGCAATCATTTCCCCCAGCTTACCAAACTGCATTCTGAATATTAAGTTTTCTAATTATTTATATTCTCACCTAATAATAAAATATCCTTTATATTATCACTCTTAGGGAATGAAATACAAGCATGGGAAGTGAAATTCACCTGAGGCTCGAATAAGAATGAAATGAAAGGTTACATGGCCTAGAACAGAAGTTTCCCATGAAAACAAATAAGGAAGGAACCACTTCCACACTCTCAAAACCATCCAGAACAGTCTCTAGCTTTGTCAAAGCCTTCTCTAGGAAAAACACCATCAAGATTACATCAAGCTACATAATAAAAACAAAATTCCAGAGGAAACGAAGAAAAGAAGAGAAACAAATCCACGTTGCAAAGTACCTCTTCACTGTCTAGCCAAACATCAGAAAGTATGACAAACATGTCATTTACTGCTCTTTTCTCCATCTCTTCCAGTCTAATCTATTTAAAAGGCATAGGAAAGATGCAATTTCATTGGAGTATGATACCATAAGAACTTCGGGTTTCATAATAATAATAAACTTGATCAGTTGAATACAAGGAAAGCATCATAAGGATACAGTTTCCTCTTTTGTAAGAGTACCACCACCAAAAAAGTCATTCCCTGCAAGTACTTTCAGAGACTTATCTCTATCCTCCAGTGGAGGAAATCCACATGTTAAGACCTGCAGAGAAAAAAATGCACTGATTATGCAGAAATCAGAGTGGAAATAGCAGAAGTGAGAACAAATTGGTCTATGTTGTTGTGATTAAAAAACTCAAACAAGCCCAAGAATTTAAGCAATATTTATCAAGATTTAAGTTAAATAGGAAACAATTCCCTAAGCCTCAATACATAGGTTAGGAATGCCAGAACGCATTCGCAAAATGGAAGTTAAAGTAATTAATTCCTTAGCTATTAGCATCTTTCAAGTACAAAAACTATAAGCTTTTCCTATTTGATGTTTACCTAATATTTATATGCGAAATTCTGTTTTCCTAAATATGACGAGTTTAAATTCTCCAAATAATAGATATAAATCATTGCTTTCTTACCTCACAAAATAATTTATATGTTAGTTTTACAAAATAAAGATATCATGAAACACATAATGAAAAGGGCATGCTAACAAGAACCTGAAAAATACCCTCCACGAGCATCTCCCCTTCAACCACAACTATAGTGTTCTCTGAAAAAAGTCCTGTAGTTATCTTGTATTGCTAGTCAAAGAAACAGATGATTATAGATTCACGCTTATATAAAATTTGAGCTGTTATGAGTTATAGCATACAAAATCAGCAATTTTTTTATGGAAATATGGCATTTATACTTTTAGCACTTTGCACCAAGATACAATTACTTGGATTAAAGAATCTCTCATGGAAGAAAAACGCAATTTAGTTTAAAATATATAATGATTATGTAGCTCTTACAAAATATATACAAGAAATTATTGTCAAAACGCTAAAGGATATTGCATTGGACAAGTTAATTTTAACTGCAGCTGTAAGGTCTTCCAAATAGTAATGACCATCTTCCAGCTGAGATATTACGCCCATCACCCATTTTCTACCTGTTTGCCCAACCAGAGATTGAATAGGAGATATCTGATGCAGGATAACATAAAATTATATATTAATTCTCCTCAAAAAAAAAAAAAAAAAAAACTGGATGTAAGCATTTGAAAACATCTGACAGACGAATTGATTTTAAAGCCAATTGAAACACCCATGCTACCTCACAACTCCCGAAATGAGAAAATTCAGATTCAAAAGCAGGTTTGGAAAAATGCTGGTCACGAGAGAGCCTCTGGGACAACAACAGAAACCTATCCCTGTACAAAGCTGCTTTTGCAGATGCTTCTCCATGAATAGACAAGGTGCCCGTATGCCTGGAGCAAAAACAAGAAACACAGAAGTATGGGCCTAATCAAGTCCAAGTGCAAGACAAAAACCAACACAAAAATTCTTATAAATTGCTTAACTGTAGTCATCTAAAATATACAATCAAACTACAACCTGTTGTGCAATAGGATGCAGATGATGAGTCGTATAATTACACAATAGAACTCATCAACAAGACGTCTATTTCCCCAGCTTTTGGTTAAATATCCAACTTCTTTTTCCACCAAGCTTCCAATTTCTCGAATAAGAGTTCAATAAAACCAACAACAACCAAAGCTAGGAACATTCCAATTCAATCAGAAGGAAAATATAAAAGAAAAGCCAGAAAAACAAAATATGAACATAGCGAATTTTCAATAGTCCTTTTGCTTCGATTTTCTGTTGCATTTTCAGTTTGCAATCAAATTATTAAACATTCTTATTTCACTTATCGCTGTACCTCTAAATGTATCTTGAAATATAAAAAAAAATTCACGTTAAAGGAAATTCCTGCCAACCTTCGATTCCAAAGAGCAAACCAAACAACAAAAAAACCAGAACTATAAATCTTACTCGTAGAACTGCTTTCTGACAGTGTCGTATTTATACTTCGGGACGAGAAACGCATCGACAACGCGAATGGCGGAAGAGGTGCTGGTGCCAGCATCGGAGCTATCCTCCATGTCCGCCTCAACTTCCAGCAGTTGGCTCACCACACGGTGCACTGTCTCCTTGTCGATTATGGTGGATTTCACTGCAATTTGTTCAGCATTTCAGAAGTAGAATCGAAATTGGACAAATAAGTTGGATAGAGAGAGAGTGATTACGAGATTTTTCAAGCTCTTTGAGGAGGACATCGATTGCTTCATCCTCGTCGCCTTCGAAGCGAGATGCGAAGGAGAGGATCTCGTCGAGAGCATCGACTTTGAGATTGTAGCCTCTTATCTTACACTTCCTTTGAACCTTTTTCCTCATTGAAGCATTCATTTCTCTGTCACACACTCTTTCTCTCTCTGGAATCCCAGTGTTGACAGGAGGATTAGGTTTGGCGCTAGAAAATCCTTAGTTTGGAAGAAATGGGGGGAAAATGGAAGAAACGAATACTAGAAAGCCCATTTAAAGCTACGTGCGAGCCCATTTCAATTAACCTAACTAAATGTTTCGAGAATGGGAGAAAAATGTCTCACATCATCTATTTGCATTAAAATATTCAGTCATTTATGAGTTTAAAATTAAAAGAAATAAATAAGTGATCAATTTAATAACAAATAATATAACCTAATACCAAATGGTTTTAGTGAAAAAATAATGCTAAAATTACATTTTAATGATAAAATAGTTTCATTAAGAATAAGAAGTAATGGTCGGATTTTTCCACCTTAAAATACATGTATTTGATGTTTTTAAATATAATTTATATTTAATATATATTATTAAATAAAAAATTTACATACTGTTCCCAGTATTTATTTTTATTTTTTTCAACTTAAATACTTCATAAGTTCCTAGTATCTCCAACACGACACCACAAAAAAAGAATCCTAATGGTTTCACCAATGCACTCTTAGATTTTACGAATAATTTGTTTATTAAATTATAATTCTTTTATTTTTTAACATTTATTATTTAATTGTGCTACTCATTTATGATTTTTTTTTCACTAATACAAAATGTGTTTTTTCAAAATATAATAAGAAAAATGGTGCAGTTCAAACGCTCAAAATTGACGCAACTCAAATGAGTGTTAAATTTAATTAAATTTATAATTTTTTATTTGAAAAACTAACAACTGGGAAACAAATTTGTTCCTTAATGTGATCATTTGGACAACTTTTTCCATAAGAACTTCTAAAAAACATAAAATAACTTTCCCTTAAAACATTTTTTAAGAATCTTTTTAAAATATTATTGTTGAAAAAACAAACGTTCTCATTCAATAGAGAGAGCACATCATTGTCCCCATAGCTTAAAACATGCCTATATCTCTTTTATTATCCTTATAACATTTTGAAATTGACATTGGATTACTGTGAAAATGTAAGAGCTAAATTAAGAATGGCTGCTACATATTAGCTTTCAACAAAGTTTACAACATGATATAGCCATGCACAATACATTGTAATGTACAACCATATCTTTGTTGTATGGTTTATAAAACACAGAAAACATTCACAGAGAAGAAAATGATCTTAATCACATATATCAAAACACTGGCCAGACATGTTTTAAACTCCACCTTTTACCACCACTGGATCTTCAGCAAAACAGAAAAACCTCCTACTGAAAGAAACATCAAAATAAATGGGAACAAGTATTATACAAGAAGAAAATAATATGTTACAAATAATTTTAGAAGACAATATGTATATATCATCACTGTTGAAGTGAAGAAATATTCCTTTCAATTGCACTTTAAAATGTCCAAGTAAACCATGGCTTCCCAAAATGCAATATAAAATCTCATAATGTTATAATTTTTATGCTGAAGATAATAAAGTTTACCATCGTGCAGAAGTGTAACCTTTGTCCTCAAATGTAACAATAAAATACATACATGGATCTTCTCATCTTTAGGCTGCATCAACTAACCAACATTGTTCAAAAAAAAAAGTGTCTGTGAATGCTTCCATTGTTTCTCTAGATGAATTAAAAATGAGGGTAGAAAAGATCAAGAGACTTACAGTTCTTCGTGCAAAAAATTCTTGGTAGCACACAGCATGACCAATAGAATATGTTCAAAGATGCAACTAGTCATCACCATGAAGGAATCCAATATGCAAGGCAAGCCTTATTAAGCCGGTATCTGAAATAGTGAATGCTATTATAACTTGCCATGTTTCCAGAAAATTTGTCTGACCTGTCATGACAAGAACCCTCTTAATTTTGCCCCTTCAGTTCCTGACAGGTAGCACAAACTCAAGAAAGAAATTTTGTAACTATTATCTCCCTCTTAAACTCATGCTCTTACGCTTCTGGCTTAGGGCATAACGTCTAGCCATGCCATGATTATAGAATTTCCTCATATGTTCTGATAGCCTTTGAATCGCCTGGAGATCACCAATCACAGACAATTGCATCAAAAAGGAGTCAAAATTTTTATATGGCAACTTTATTCCTCTGTTTATAACTTCTTCCAAAAGAAAACAAGCATCTTCCATCTTATTGCAGCTAAATAGCCCCTCGATCATCACACAGTATGTGTCACTGTCTGGTCTGCAGCCCCTGTTATCCATTTCCTGCCAAGTCTCAAATGCCCCATCAGGATCATCCATCTTAAAAAACATTGAAATCAGCATATTGTAAGTCTGAACACTAGGAATGCAACTCAATTCAATCATTTTTCCATATAATTTAAGGGCTTCCTCAGACTTCTTATTGTCACAAAGGACCTTGAGAAAACAATTATAAGTAACAATATCAGGTCGATAACCCTTGTTTCCCATCTCTTCCAAGAACTTGTAAGCTTCATCTACCTTTCCACACACACACATTCCCTCAATTATTTCCTTATATGTTGTGACATCAGGAAGACAACCACTGCAAATCATATGCCCTATAAGTTTAAAACACTCCTCCATTCTATCATTTTGAGCAAGAGCCACAATTATAATCGCATAAGTCTTGGCAGTGGGGGAAGATATAGTTGAACCTTTTGTTCTCATAAACTCAAAAAGATCAACAGCCTCTGTTATCATACCAGCTTTGCAGTATGTATCAATGGCTGTGTTGTATGTGAAATTGTCAGGTCTATGACCCAGTTGAATCATTTCCTCCAGTAGTTGCATCCCTCTAGTTGGGTTTCTAACCCTACACCACCCAAAAACTAATATATTATATGTTTCTGCATTAGGCTTGACCGTTTTCCTCATTTTCTTATATAGAGCTTCAGCATCCCCAACCAAACAACACTTGCACAGAGCATCCAACAGCAAGTTAAATGCATTTATTTCCGGTTGTGTCTTCACCCTTATCCTCCTCTTCTTTGCAAACTTCTGCACATGAGTAAGATACTTCTCAGTATACTTTCTCAAAATCGTCATCAGAACTTCAACCGGAACAGTAATCTTGTCATTCCTCTTCATATATTCCAACATATCACAAACTATCCGAAACTGTTTCACCTTGTACTTAGTACTAGATAGGATGTCCATCATATCATTATAAGCACGGCGCTCGTGTGAATAATTCTCCTGATGACCAGCCCAAGTGAAGAACCTAAATGCAATTTTTTCATCATATCTAAGCTTATGCAGCACCCCAATAACCAAAGGAGTGGACAATGGGATCCCCAATTGGCCAAGAGCCTCCTCCAAATTGTTAAATCCAATTAAATTATCCATTATAGTGTTATAAACCTTATCAGCGTCACTTTCTAAACCACTACCCTCCACCATCGTGCTATACACCTTACCAACATCGCTTTCTAAACCACTATCCTCCACCATTGTGCTACACACCTGATCAATTTCACTCTCACAACAACTAAGATCTTGATTCATGAAAACAATTTCTGAACAGTAATTACGATTGGGGATATAACAAGCAATATAGCAGTTCAAGGGCAATGAATATTGAATGAAGCGCACACGAGAATTTTTATTATCAGATAACAATGGCCTTTGGCAATGAACAGAATAATGAGAGGGTGAAAACCTTGTTGAGTGAAGTGTCGTTTCAACTTGTGCGAGAACTTTGTTTCTGAAGATTTGACGATAATGGTGGATGCACAATGAAAATGAAGGAGTTTTCAGATAATTCATGTACCTACGAAACATACCCATCATTGTAATTTTGGTGTGGGAGTTGAAGGCAATGAAAGGAGAGTGAGAGTGGGTTCAGAAATTAGTAGTAGATGAAAAAGATGGAGTTTTGATATCTGGGTAAGTGTGGAATTGCTGTTCGGTGATTAGGAACAGAGGGAACGAGAGATAGCAGAGCTTACTGCGGAGGAAGCTGATGCTTCAAAGCAGCCTCCCTTCCACTACAAAAAGGGGCTGAAGGAAATGCAGTGTTTGTGTAATATTTTCTCACATTTTATTATAATTAATATGACTTTTTTTTTTGTATTTGACGTTGGTGAATTTTTAATAAAGAAAATCGTGCCATTATTTTTATTTTTGAAGATGGAGACCATGAATAATTTGTGTATCTACCTATATATGAATTTAATTTTAGAGTTGAATCCGGTTTTGATTTCATATATTTTTTTTATATATAGTTTTAGTTTTTTATTTTAATTTTTTTAGACTAATGTTTTTTTAACCTTATGTAATGATTAACAAAAAATAGATACAAGGTTAGTGGTAATTATATTTTTATAAGAATTAAAATTGTATTTTCGTGTAACTGTGAAGAAAAAAATAAATTATATGTTAATTTTAATCCATTGAATTTAATTATATTCCTCGGATTATATGTATTGTAGACAGTAAAAAATACTTATTCAATAAACCTTGAATCAACTCAATTCAAGGTGTGAATTATAGTTGAGTAAAAGGAAAATTACCTAATTTAAGTTTCTAAAACAAAATTATAGTCTTATAAAAAATTGACTTTTTCTTTTAATTTTTAAATTTCAATATATAGGCATATATTTAAACTCTAATATTTTGTTTGTTTTTATTTGAGTATTTTAAAATATGATGAAAATTTTCTCGTTTCCTTTCAATACATTCTCTCAAATTCATCTTAAAAAGCAGATGCACTCTAAATAAAACATAATGTGAATCTTTCACTTATTACATTTGATATTATTGGTTTTAGAAAAAAATTACAATATATTTAACCTAAAATTTTAAAATAATAATTATGTATTATTTATATAAAAAATTTCACATTTATTAATAATAAGACTAATTTATAATTTATAAATAAATGTAAATTTTATCTTATAAATTAATTTTATTAGATTGAATTAACTAAATTTATTATTTATTAGACTTGAATTAAATTTAAAATTCATTTTTTAATAGTTTATTTCATTTTTTTTATTTAATTAGAGATTTTGAAATTACCTTAAATGTCTGAAAGAATGGACATGTGTTATCACCTCTCTGTCTAAATGTTTTCTTTGAACTAATATTTTTCAAGCAAATTCTAATTTTTTTTTATTGTCCACACCTCACTTGTTAAATCTTAGTTAATGAAGTCATTCAATTTGTATTTGTTTTTTAAATAGGTTGTTTTGTCTAATTGTCATTAGGTGAAATTAGTCACAAACACCTAACAAGAATTACAGTCTATAACCAGTGATAAGCACGTTTGACAGAGTAAGTATAATTTATTGAATATTGAAACTGATTTATAAGACCTACATTAAATATTCATTTACCAAACTTAAACAACACCAACAAATATTTTCTCATTTATTCCATTACTCTCCTTACATTTTCTTTTCATTTTTCTCATTCAATCTTAATTAAACAACACAATATTCTTCTTCTCTGTTTTTTTTCTCCACTTATGTTTGAAACACATAAATTTTTTAAATTTATTTGATCTTATTTTTTATTTATTTTTTACTCTCTTTTTTTTGAAAAAATATAAAAATTTATAATTTTATAACTATTTTATCCTTGTATTACATCTTAAATATGAAACGAACGTAAAAGTGTGTAATGTAACATTGTTCCTGGTCTTTTCCTTCGTTAAAAAACAACTCATACATTATATGATAACAGTGGCTTTTCATGGTTAGAAAAACTTTGTCTTAGGCAAGAACAACACAGGCTATTAGAATCTGTCATGCATTGGCATTGCTTATTGCTACATAGCCATTACACACACACAACATGCACAATGATAATAAATCACCACATCAAAGTGGCCAAAAGGCTAGCAAGCTCCAAGTTTCTTCCCCTCCAGAAGTCTCTTCCAGTAGATAGTAATCTCTCTCTGAGTCTCTATATCACTCTTCTTGACCTTCTGATTAGGATCAGTGGTGATGGGTGTGACATGAGCAGCATCGGTTGTGATGGGGCTAGGAAGTGTGTCTAAGAGCTTCACAACCTTGTCTATGTCTGCAGCCAGTCTCTCAGCCAAACCATGGTTGAAATCCTCCCTCACCACCACCCTCAGAACTGCAATGTGCTCTGCATCTGGTGGCATTGTGTAGGCTGGAACTATCCACCCATATTTTCTCAGCTGGTCTGATATCTCAAACACCGAGTGCTGGCTACTGTCTTTCAAGGAGAAGGCCACAAGTGGCACCCCTATGTCCTTCGAGATGATGTTGAACCTCCCTGTTCTCTCAATTCCTTTCCTCAGAGTTCTTGCATTGTCCCAGCAATTTTCCATGATGTTTTTGTAACCCTTTTTGTCAACAAGAATAGCAAAAAGCATAAGACAAAATAGGTTTTGCACAACATGTCTCTGTAATACACTTTTAAACAAGTGAGCAATGATTACCTCAAAGCCAAGCCGAATAAATTGGTAATACTGAGCAATGATTTGACTGGATCCTGTTAAAAGAAACACACTTACACGAGAAAGACAACAGAAAATAATACATGTAAATACACTAATTGCATAAAAGATCAAATAGCTCATACTACCTTTGGAGAAATTCAATGTGAAAGTGGGCTGATCAGAACCAAGGTAATTGATGTGAAAAACAAGTTCATCTGGCAAGTCATCCTTACTCATCCAGACAACCCAACCAACACCAGGGTAGACAAGACCATACTTGTGACCACTAACATTGATGCTTTTCACCAATGGCAAACGAAAATCCCACTCTAGATCAGGATACAGAAATGGAGCAATAAAGCCCCCACTGGCAGCATCTACATGAATTGGGGTATCCCAACCTGTCTTCTTGTTCTTTTCAGTAAGAAGTTCATTGAGAAGTTTCACATCCTCAAATTCTCCAGTCATAGTTGACCCCAAAATGGCTGCAACACAGATGGTGTTCTCATCCACCATTTCAACTGCTTTCACTGGGTCCATCACATAGTATCCCTCAGTGAGTTTCACTTCCTTGAGCTCTACCTCAAAGTACCTTGCAAATTTTTCCCAACAAACCTGTGAAGAAAATTTAAGAGAATATCATACATTAAGGTCTAAAGGCCCCAAAATCTGGCACATAGTTAAAAGGTGGTTATGGATACTGGTAAACACACCTGCACATTAGCCCCAGTAACTATGTTGGGCTTATCATATGGTTTGCCTTCTGCTTTTCTCTTTGTCTGCCATTTCCTTTTGAAAGCCAAACCTGCTAACATTATTGCCTCAGATGATCCCACAGTTCCAACACCTACTGCAGTCTCTTGTTCACTTAGAGGAGCATGAAATAGATTTGCTATTATATTGACACACCGATTCTGCAGAATTCAACAAAACTTTTAATGTACCAGTCATTGCAAAGACTCCAAAAGCATTGATGTTGTAGTCCATTCAAGATTTTGGTTGCAGAACATATCTCAAAGAAGAAGAAGAATCAAGTTACTCCAAAACTAACTCTAGAAGAGTTTCACCTTATCCTTATCTTATATTTTCTATTAATCCAAAAGTTAAAGATGATTGCTTGTTAATTCATTAAATAAAGAGAAAATGAAGACCGATGTGTTATGATCATATGAAGACACCAAATTACTAGGCAAAGTGGCAGACCTGAAGCTCAGTGGTGACAGGATACTCATCCATGTCAACATAGTTCTTGTTAAGTGAGGCCAATATGAGCTTTTCACACTCAGGCTCCATCCAAGTGGTCACAAATGAGGCCAAGTTGAGCCTTGGTAAGCCATCCAACATCAACTCATCGTTTATTAACTGATAAGCAGCATCCTTTGGTATAGAGTTATCTGGCATCTTGAACCTGCATTCAGCATTTCCACCCCAACCCCATCACAACAAAGAGACCTCATTCAATAGAAATCAAACTTCCTCTCTCTTTTTCTGCTCTCTACGCTTTCCTCCACAGAATGGACCAACAACAACTAAATGTGAAATTCTAAGAAAAAAGACACATACTTGGGAATAGGTTGCCGCACATATCTGGAAGCAAACGTTGATGATAGACACTCATCTTGTTCATCTGGGTGTGTGGCAGCGGATGTGATGACCATTTTGAATATGGTTTCTTCTCAACCAATGAACCTCAAGTGTTACACACTGAACTCTGAAAGAGATAGAATCTCCACTTATATTTGAAGCTGGGAATTTTCACTTCTTTTTAGTTACTAACTGCTATTTCCAAGCATAAATTCCCTGAACTGCTATTTCCACAAGGATAAATTCCCTGAACTGCTATCATGGTAAGATATTTTTCTTGCTTTAACTGTACCCGTTCAACTTTGTGTGGTCCATGCACATCCACAAATGTTTGCCACTTGAATACAGTATCGATGATATTGCTGACATTGTATTTTCATCAAGCATTAACTTAACATTTTTTCTGTCTTTCTTATTACGTTATCTCATTTATTACATTTTCTACTCTTTTTTTCTTGTTTCCCTATCTCTCAGCAATCATGTTTCATTCCTTAATGCTATAACAAGTTCAATTAGCAGTGAACGATCCATCACGATAAAGGTATTACTCTAACATACTCTTTTCCACAGTGATAATTGAATCTGTGAGATCAAGAATATAATCTCAGTTTTCAGTATGAGCTGATCCTAATAGATTATTCTCTTGTAGTTGAAAGGAGTCAAGTAGAATATTTTGAATTATATCAATTATATCAATTATATTTAATATTTCATCTTCAAAATACATCAGCCATAGGTATATACAGGCATGAGATACTTCGAGTTCAAAAGTATGGAGTGAGTAGAGTGAACATATAAGAAAGTGAAGTTTCTGACTGATAATTTCTTCCATGATTCTGACCCTGGTTCAAGTGTGAGTCATGGTGCATCATCATCTATTATGATAACACAAATCCATACAATTTACATGCGTATTGATTGATGTTTTTTTGTTTCAATCACAGATATTTTTCAGTCTTGTGGTGAAGAATAATCCTTCTCACAGCAAAGTAAATCTCATCTTTAAAAATGGTCACTTGTATTACAATGATGTTTTATAGCTTTAATAAATATTTTGATGTTATCTCTACGAAAATAAGATTTATGGGATCAGTGTCGGTCCAAGGTCACATCGTCCTTATGACTTTAGTATTATTGATCACGTGCTTTAGATTGAAACAATCTTTTGCATCGTCAATTCAGATATTTTATTGGATTTTTTGTATTATGTATATATTGTGTCTTTAAAATATATTAGTTTTGATATATTATGAATTTTTTTAATATATTTTAAAATATTAAAATTAGATACATTTTGAAAGCATAATACCAAGAGTTTAGTAAAAAAATTATTTTTACGTTCTTGAACATTTAGAAATTATAATTAAATAGCCTTATGATTGACATTTTTTTCTGATAAAAATATCTTATATTTAAAATTAAGTTTAGTTTGTAAGCATTAAACTATTTATAAATTTAACACATCATTTATATAATAAAACTATTTTTGGAAAATACATGCATTGATAGTGCCATTTTTACACTCTCATTTTAATCATGTGTTTGGGAATTTGTTAGATTCATCGTAACAGTTATTCCTCGTTGTAAACATGTATCATTTAGAGAATATAATATAATATAAAAAAATATCTTAAATCAATTTTTTAGTTCAATTTTTAATTAAAAAAAGAGTTAGCAGTTGGTCAGGTTAAAGCTCTAATAATTTAGATATTTATTTTTGGCTTAAATGCTTATTTCGGTTTTATGTTAAGAGGTGAACTTCTGTTTAGTACTCAGTTTTTAAAAATAAAGACATTGGGTTCTTATGTTAGGAAAAATATATGAATAAGGTCTACAAAGAAAGAACAAGTTCAACAAATTATCAAAGAAAAAATGAACAACAAAGAGAAAAAGCTCATCAAAGAAAAAAGTGAACAAGAGAGAGAAAAAACTCATCAAAGAAAAAACTGAACAATAGAGAGAAAAAGCTGGAGTCAGCATGGACTTAATGTCGTTGCTGTCAACTTAACGAACAAGACCTTATTCATACATTTTTCATAAGGACCAATGTCTTCATTTTTAAAATCGAATACTAAACAGAAATTCACCTCACGAACATTTCAGTCTTTATTCTTTAACGTAAAAAAAAATGCACTTGTTTAGAAATACTTAGAAAAATCTAAAAAATTTAGAATAATTTAAAAAGCAGATAAATAATTAAACCCTAATCTTAAAGCATTTCAGCCATATGAAAACTAGCGTAAAAAAAAGGTATACAAAGTTTGTTGTGAAAACGACATCAGAACTCTTTGTACCTTTGTTCCTTTCTCCACCTAAGGTTACTTTTCAGTATCCACTGCAATGTTTACAAGTGGCAAGCTCAATGATTAACACTCAAAACCTACTTTCACTAAGCAAAACACTTAAGAAACTTAGGGTAGATATACATCTTTCACAACTGATGGTCTTTCCAGAGTGAATGGAAGTAATTGAGATATGAGATTCAGGATTCCCATTGAGATATTATATGAATTAAGCATATGTACGGTTTATTTAGTGATAAATTTTAAAAGGAGAATGTGAGAAATTTTCAGTTAATATTGAAAAGAAAAGGTAACACACGATGTTAGAACAGGAAAACAATTTTAATTAGTATATAGAAGTCAAATTGCAGCCATTTGATTTTAAAATCGTATTTTTTTTTGTTTTAAAAATCTTAAAAAGAAGTATTACTTTTAAATATATTCTACTTTTATATTAAAATCATATTATTTTAATTAGAAGTATTACTTTTAAAATGATCTTTTCTAAATGTATATATAGATACGTTTGTCGTTTTAGCATTTTACTGTTACTAATCCGTAGTTAAACAAGAAAGTTTACAAATCCCACTAAATTGATGAAATTTTCATTATTATAACGATTTTAATTAATGTTATATAAATTCATAATTTATGTAATCAAATATATTTATATAAATAATTCTTCTTGAGGTGGAAAATGAATGTTGTATATTCTTAATTCATTTAATAATCCTCAATAATGTGACTTGTCGTAATAATATATCAAACTATTTTTTTGATGAAAAAATTTACCAACCTTTACAATTCAACGAGAAATTGCACATACCTGGACTTTGGATCGGGTCAGAAACCTTCATAGACCATTCTTTTAAGCATTTATATGTAATGTATATAGTTACAATCTTTTGTAGACATGGTTAAAAATAAGTACTTAACTTATATAATATTTGAGTTAAACAAATTGTTACTTTTAATATATTTACTTATAGAAGTCAAATTTATAAATAAACAGAAAAATAATTTTAATGAAATGATTTGGCATAATTCTTTTTATATATTAGATTATTTAGTAAATGGCTAATATATTATATCATTATTATAAACTAACAAACTTTCGAATTCGATGTATTTAATTTTTTATGTATTATGATAAAACTGTTACTTTATTTCCATATTTAAACTCATTAAACCAAATATTTATTTACAATTTTCAAATTATACTTTTTAGACAAAATAATCACTAAAATGTTTTATTTACTTTTTAATATTAGACAAATTAACTGTAAATAACACAAGCATAAAAAAGTATAAAAATACTCATGCAAACAACAAAAATCATCTTATGAAAAATGTTAACTTCTATAATTATATATTATCAATATGAAAATTCTCTTCTTTAACTTAAGCTCAAAAAAATATTACATCAGTTCAAAATATTAATCCCTAAACACTGTAACATAGACAAAGAAAAAAAATACTTGGATTAAAATACTCTCCATTTATAATTATTATTCGTAAATCATTCTAAATTTTCATTCTTTTCAATTACTCACACCAACAATATAGTAAAAATTTGCTACAATTATAGTAATATATATTATAATTCTTTCTAACATATGGATTACTTTGTTTATCCAATCCAACCGAGGAATACGATTACAAAAAATAAATGTAAAAAGGAAACAAATTAAAAATTTTAAAAACCGTTATTTATAATAGAAGAATTAATGGACAGTGCATATTATTTGTAGTTTGATTTCAATTATTCTAAAGAAGAAATCATATTTACGCTACAATCTTTTATAATATTTTTTTTCCACAACTATAAAAAGAAATTTGCAGCCAATGATAATATCTTTTATAATACTCATAACATGTCTTGCAGGGTACCTAATATCAAATTCAATGTAGCCAAAGTTTTGCAGTCTCTTTTTCCAATTGTTGATCAGTCTGTGAGTAGCTTCCATTTAAGCTTTCATCTTTAACATAGTTACTTGGACTACAATACAGTATGGATCTCTAAAATAAAAAATCTAGTATTTTGAAAATTAATCAGAGAACTATATTATGTATTAATTTGGTTTTAGAAATATTGAGATACAGATTAATTTTTGTTGTAATTTATTTTATGCTACTTTGAATTGGTTGTTTGTTGACTTTATCACTATAATTATATTATGTATCTAAGTCTGGTAAGAACAGATACAGAAAATTACCACCTCAAAAACCAGAGAGAAAATTTCCTTAGACAAAAACAGATACGACTATAAGAATCTGTCATGCATTGCCGTTTCTTATTGCTACATAGCCATCACAAACACACATGCACATAAATATGAAAGCAGCACCATCACTCTCAACAAGGTTATCAAAAACCAAGATTTGGTAACCCTAGCATGCTCCATGTTTCTTGCCACCCACAAGTCGCTTCCAGTACAAAACAATCTCTCTCTGAGTTTCTGTTGCACTCTTCTTTATCTTCTCACTAGCCTCATTAGTGATGGCTGTGATATGAGCAGTTTTGTTAGAGACAGTGCTTGGAAGTGAGTCCAAGAGCTTCATAACTTTTTCTATGTCAGAAACAAGTCTCTGAGCCAAGCCACGGCTGAAATCCTCCCTGACCACCACCCTTAGGACTGCAATGTGTTGTGCATCTGGTGGCATTGTGTAGGCTGGAACTATCCAGCCAAATTTTCTCAGCTGGTCTGATATCTCAAACACTGAGTATTGGCTACTGTCTTTCAAAGAGAAGGCCAAAAGGGGCACCCCTATATCCTTGGAGATGATGTTAAACTGCCCTGTTCTCTCAATTCCCTCTTTCAGAACTCTTGTATTCTCCAAGCAATTTTCCATGATGTTTTTATAACCCTTATGTTCACAAATATAACCAGATGTAATGTCAGAAAACAGATAATGACACAAGGATAACAGAGTATGATCATCAATTGTACTATTCACATAATGAAGCAAATATAGGACAGTGTTAATAACATGTATAATGCAGCTGTTATTTCTATAATAACAATGTTAATCAAGTACCCTCTTCAAAGACATCTTCATTAGGACATGAGAAAATAGAGAAACAACCAAGAAAATTGATGCAACCCTGCATTGATATAGAACATTGATGTTGATGGCTGTAACTGTGTTGAAAGCCATTATTCTCATGAATTTCATGTTAATGATTTGTTAAAGATACACAACTCTAGGATCTAATGGAAAGACTCCTATCAGAAAGAGAGAACCAAATCCCATATGTCTCAACATACAGCTATAGCTGAAATATTTAATTTCATTATTAAGTGAGTTCCTTATGATAAAAAAAGGCAAATGGAAAAGGTAAACATATATAAATAACCTCTTTTTTATGGGAAATTATGTCTTTGTATATATCTTGGAACTTAAAATAAAGATGCTGGACCAAGATGATAACATGTTTACCTCAAAGCCAAGCCGAATAAACTGGTAATATTGTGCAATAATTTGACTGGATCCTGTCAAAAGAAATACAAAGAAATGGGAGACAAGAAAAGAAAAGTATCATAAG